AAAAACAAATAGGATTCTGTCTTTGTATGTAGTTTCATTATACATGCTGTTTACTGGAGTGGTCTTCTGGGAAACTTAAAAATCTAAATGGAGAGCCCTGGGTAACTGACAGGTTCTCAAACACAAGTTTTGATTGGGTACCATGTGAACTCCCTGCAAAATTCTAAGAGATGTCTAACAAAAACTTGGCCGAGAAAGTGTATATGGGGAGAGGGAACATGTGGGGAAGTAGAGAAAGGAACTGCACTAGAATTTTGAATAAATTCTTTCATTTGCACCTGACTCCAATTCTATTAGTGTTGGGCATTAAGCTGCTTAATGGCTTAGAAATCTGAAGTAGAAAAGTTAAATAACTGCTTGCTTAAACCATACCACAGTCAAAGGCTTGGCAAGAAGGCTGCAGGGAGGATAACAGAAATATAAACCCAAATTTTCATTCTCTAATTCTACACACTGAAATAAAGAGAAGGTTTCGCTGAATGGATTAGGTTGGGATCATTTGATAGTGTAGTCAGGGATCATTTTAAGTTAGAGTCACATGCTTTCTTTGTAAACAGAATCAATATACTAGAGCAACAGGAACATAGCGATTGGGGTGAAGTAAATTAAGCGAGGGTCTTAGGTCTCCAAATTCTCATGTGTGGAGCATTATCTAACCTGTTTCTATATATATATTCCTTCATACTCAAAGAATACTAGTAAATGTTGCAGAGGGTTGATTTTAACAGCTGTTAAAATAAAAACACTACATATTAATTTAGATCAAGATATAGAAAACAATAACCATTCATTAATGCTTCTAAACACACATTACAGAAAGTCTTTAGTAGTTTGCCCCAAAGACAACCTCTTCTAAGATACATATTTAGGAGCTATCTATTTTTTAAAGTTATAGATTCCAATTTTGCCTTACCCTGAGTTACCTGGTCATCCAACAATTCTTCCTGGGACCCAGGTTTCTCACTGGACACAAACTATCACAAAGAAAGACAATAGCTATGGTGGCCTCTGGGAGGCTAAACAATGGGAGACAGGGAACCATCTAGATCATATGTAGGCTCTTAAACAGCATGAACACCTTTTGCTTAGGACATTATTTCTTTTTCCTCTTCCTCTCACAAATACTATTCCAGAAAAAGTGCAGCATAATTCTTAGGTAATTGATTTCTTTGGGATTGTTAATTACATGGGTCATTTTGGCAGTGAGTATAAATATTTGGTTAAATGTCTTTACGGGTGTGTCTTGTGAGGGTGATTTTGCATGAGATCAGTGTCTAAGTTGATGGGCCGGGTAAAGCAAAGCATTTCTCTGGCATGCCTGATGCAACTGATCTGGTGACACACAGGTCCACACAGAATGAGAAGTCTGGCCTTGCCTTGAGTAGATGAGATCTTCCTTAGGCTGACCATGTTGAACTTCCATGGTTTGTTAAAGCTCAAAATGAAGCATTGGCTCATCTGGGTCTCCAGCCTGCTGTCTGACAATTTTAGAATTCCTCGGCTTTCACAACTCTTATTCTCTCTCATTCTCTCCAACCTCTCTTTCTCTCACTTACAAATTACATTTCTTCTGTTTTATGAAACATCCTGATATGCTATCAAATTTTAATGTGTTTTAAAATCTGTTTTACAATTTGTTCATTTTCAGTGGCAATAGTTGGGAAAGAAAAGTTCCATACTTCCCTGCAGAGCCAATGGTTTTGTTTTCTTCTTATTTTCTTTAATTATGTGTATATGTGTGTGGGGTATGTACACATGGCTGCAGGAGTCCTCTGAGGACTGAAGAAACATCAGATCCTTTGGAGTTTGAGTTACAGGTAGTTTTGAACTGCCACGTGCGTGCTAAGAACCAAACTCTGGTTCTCTGGAATAGAAAGAAGCACTCGTAACCTCTGAACCATGACTCTACTCCCAGCATTGTTTTATAAAAAAGACAATAAAGTACATGTTGATGTAATACTAATTTGCCAGATTGTAACATGGGGTGCACATGACTACCCATGTGAGTCTAAGGGGAATGGTTAGAGAATGGTTTGATTTCTAAGGAATAAAAGTGAATGAAAACTATCTGCAGCAGGGATACAAGTTATTTTATAATAGTTTATAACTTCTTAAGATGCTGCTAAGCATACTTTCTGTCAAGACCTAACTAGAAGAAGTGTGTGAAAATGTGATGGAACTGTCCAGAAGAAGCAGGCTCCAGTAGGATGTGGGTGGGAACTTTTCTTTAAGAATTTTCCTAAAGGAGAAATGATGACATTTCCCTCTAGTGGCTAAAGAGATATGAAATCAGTTGAGAATTTAGAACTCAACAAGATGAAAATGTTTCTGCAAAGAGTAGCACCTGTCTGCTGGCCTTCTTTGCTTGCTCACCCCCCCCCCCCCACAGCCTTCCATTTTCTTCCTACCATTTTCTTTCCTTCCCACCTGTCTTCTTTTTGAACAGAATAGTTGCCAGTCATGTGCTAGATATAATTGCTATGCATACTGATCACCTTGACCTTGACTCTGTCATTGCACTGGGAAAGGTTGATGAAGAATAAAGGGGAATCTGGGTCCAGGAGGACAGTGTGAAGTGAGAAAGAAGGTTCGAGAATGTTTTTCTGTCACCTGGACACCAGAAGATAATGTAACCTGCTTCTGCTCTAGTTCTACCTCCAAAAATATTCTTTTTCTGTCCATTTTGTTTCTATACATTTTTCTCCTTCATTGACACAAAGTATAGTTATTTTTCCAAAACGAGTAAGAGTTAGTTTATTCTGAGCCAAATATGAGCAACTGTGATCTGAGAATATGTGCTTGAAGTTGCCTTGGGAGCCATATTCTTCTGCTGTGGAGGAGGTTACACGAACTTTTACAATCACAGAACAAAAGAACAAGTTTGAAGTCAATGTATTTACCAGGTACAGTGGTAGGGACATCAGATACTCAGGCCGTGTAGGACAGAAAGATATCAACTAAAGGGTTCAGGCATTTTAACAAGCTTAGCTTTAGTTTTGGTTGAGTTAATTGTCTGCTAAGCCTAAAGATAAATTCTAAAAGTTGTACCTAGTAGTCACAGGATATTAGGTCAGCCATAGAGTGTGGTGGTAAATGCCTATTGAAGAAACTGAAGACAACCCAAGTTAACTCTGGCCTTTGTCTACAGCATCCACCTCTCTGTAATTATGAAGTTCTAGTCAGTCATTCTGCACCATCTTTGACACAGACGGGCTTCTTCAGAGAATACCAGGCCACACCATTCAAACTGACTTCTCTGTGTTAGATTTGCTAATTCTTCTCCTTATTACTCTTCTCATCAGCCATCCTTGCACTATCACTGATTTCATGATTTCTTTTAAAACTACATGGTTTGTGTCCAAAAGTGGGGTACTCTCAATACTTGAGTTCAAATACATGGATTTTAAACACCAACAGCCAATACTACAACTTTTGTTCAATATACACAATGATTCAATTTAATTCTGATACCAACAGTCCAAGGTTAGCACAGCTTCCACAGCTAAAGCCTTAGTCCTACAAGTCTGCCTTCACTTCAGATGCAAAGCACAAGTTTATGCCACCCACATTTCCTAGAAAGAGAGGATTTCTGTGAGCTCCCGTCCCATATTCAATAATTTGCTATAGTTCACACAAGTTAGGAAAAATGCTTACTAGGTATAGCTAGTTTATTGCAAGAGACCAGTCTTCTCACTTTCCTTTCCTCCCCCTGGTTTTCTTTTTGTTATTTAACTTCCCCCCTCTCCCCTTTCCATGCCTATCAATAAATGAATCCAAAGAAACCAAAATGATTGATAGCCAAAGAACTAAAAAATTTAGTTTGAAAGTGAGCAATCAGATCAAAGAGAATTCAAATGAGCAGATGAGTAACTTCATCCAAGACCCAGGTGAGAGGCCCCAACACTTGAATTAGATCATAACTCAACATGATAAAGGCTACATATAACAAACCTGTAGCCAATATCATTCTGAATAGGAAAAAATTGAAACATTTTTTCTAAAATTAGGAATAACATAAGGGTTTCCACAATTTCCACTCTTATTTAATATGGTACTTTAAGTCTTAGCCAGAAGAGCAAGGCAAGAGAAAGAAATAAAAATGATACAAATATGAAAGAAAGAAGTGAATTTATCCCTATTTGTGGATCATATGATTCCACATTAAAAAAACAAACAAAACCCTAACAGTTCTTCCCTTAGATCTGATAATCATTTTCAACAACTAAGAGGCTACAAGAACAACAAAAAATAAATAAATAGTTTTTCTGTGTAATAATAATGAGTTAAGAAAAGAGTTTAAGAAAAATTTCTAAGCCGAGTGGTGGTAGTGCATGCTTTTAATCCCAGCACTTGGGAGGCAGAGACAGGTGAATCTCTGTGAATTTGAATCTAGCCTGGTCTACAGAGTGAGTTCCAGGACAGTCAGGTGTGGTGATATTTTATCTGTGTATCCCAATAAAGTTTATCTGAGGATCAGAGAAAAAAGCCAGCCACTATAGTAAACATAGAGGTCAAGCAATGGTAGTATACACCTTTAATCCTGACACTCTGAAGGCAGAGATCTGTCTGGATCTCTGTGAGTTCAAGGCCATACTTGTAACAGAGTCAGACATGGTGGTACATACCATTAATCCCAGCACTAACCATAAAGGTTTGGATGTCTGTACAGACAGACAGGAAGTGACAGAGCTGGGCAGGAAGAGGAAGTGATGTAGCTGGGTAGAGAGAGGAAAAGAGATATAAGAACAGAAAGGCATATAGGTGTGGGTACACAGGAAGTAGGTCTTTTGCTGAGGATCTCCAAGTGGTGAGAATATGGCTGGCTTCTTTCTGCTTTTCTGATCTCTCAGTTTTAAGCCCAATATCTGGCTCCAGGTTTTTTTTTATTATTATTATTAATAATAAGACCTTTTAGCAATTCATCTACAGCCAGGGTTACACAGAGAAACCCCGTCTCCCAAAAACAAAAACATAACAAAATATTCTAGTTACAGGCACGGGGCGGGGCGCAGTGAGTACACTCGGGCGCCGGCGTGGCGCAGCTCAGGGTCGCCATGGCAGAGGTGCAGCAGCTCCGAGTGCAGGAGGCTGTGGACGCCATGGTGAAAAGTGTAGAGAGAGAGAACATTCGGAAGATGCAGGGCCTCATGTTCCGGTGTAGCGCCAACTGCTGTGAGGACAACCAGGCATCTATGCAGCAGGTGCACCAGTGCATTGAGCGCTGCTATGTGCCTTTGGCTCAAGCTCAGGCCTTGGTGACCAGTGAGCTGGAAAGGTTCCAGGACCGCCTGGCCCGGTGCACCATGCACTGCAATGACAAAGCCAAAGACTCGATAGACGCAGGAGATAAGGAGCTGCAGGTGAAGCGATAGCTGGACAGCTGTGTGGCCAAGTGTGTGGATGACCACATGCACCTCATCCCAACAATAACCAAAAAGATGAAGGCATCTCTGTCATCCATCAGGAAATAAAATTGTTTGCCAGTGACCGTGGGGCTGAGGGCACGCTATTTAAAAGGAAGAATGGAAGTTTAGCAATGTTTACAAGCAGTGTTGATGAATGAGGAAAACTCAGGACACAGCAAGTTCCAGGCAAATGCCACTCACCCCTGGACACTAGTTCCTTTGCATCTGGACCTTAGAAGGTAAAGTGGAAAGAAGCTGGTGCTAAAATTTGCATCACAGATAGCACAGGGGAGAATTCTAGACCTAAATTGTCGCGGGCCAGTGCTTGTTCTGGCAGGAGAGATTGCCCTTATACCGAGGGCTCAGATTCTCACTACGTAGACATCGAGCTGGCAGCTTTCTTCAGCCTGCTGGTAAAGTTTGAGAAGTGTGTCTCTCTGCCAAGCTCCTGTTTACCACACACACCTTGCATGTGCTCTGAAACAACACTCAGTCAGCTAGTCATTTAGAGGGAGGAAAAGGTTTCCTTCTAGATCTTTTTGGTTTGTCTTACATGCAAGGGCACAAAGTGGATTTAAGATACAGGAGGGAGAGAAGTTTGAATAGCTTCTAAAGGTTCCTTGTAAGTTTTGGCCATCAAGATGGGAAAGTCTATTTCTTCAAATTCTGTCATTCTGGAAGCCCCTGAAGAAGCAGGGCAGTATCATACTGTGCATGGGAAACAGCTTCTCTGTCTTCTGTGGCAAAGTGACACATCCCCAGGAAGAGCAAGGGAGTTTGTCAGTCACATACCAGTAGCTGAGAATAAACAGTCAAATAGGAACTGTTGAGAAGTACTAGGTTTGGGGAAACCTAAATTTTACAGAATCCAAACCCAATATTACTCCCTCTGCCCCTTGAACTCGCAGAGCCTTTTAGAGGTAATCCTCTAGCACAAGGAAGCCTAAGAGTAAGCAGCTTGGGCCAAGGAAAGCGGGGACCACTGTAGAGCTAGACAGGCACACCTCACCAAATGCCATTTTTGCCTGGGGCTTTGCAGTGCAGTGTTGCTGCCCCAACATGGCACCTTATCTTGGATAAGCACTATGTTGTATTTATACCAATTAATTACTTGAAACAGTGATAATTCTTGTCAGTTTGCTGTCAAGCCTGTGATATATTTTCCAAGTGGTTTTGTTTTTAAATAAAGTTTCATGGTCTCCAAAAAAAAATATTCTAGTTACAATAGCCTCAAAAATAATAAATAAAATACCTAGGAATAAACATAATCAAAAAGGCAAAAGAACTCCTAAAGGGGAAGCTAACATGCCAAGGAAAGAAACTGAAAAGGACTAGAAGGTGAAAAGCCATCCCA